CAACAGAAACAGCAACAAACCCGACAAAACCAACAACAAACCCAACAAAATCACCAACAAACCAAACAAAAATGCCAGCAAACCAAAACCAACTTAGAAGCCACATTTATCTGCAAGAAAAGCACCACAATTTGGGTTTTTTGGGGGGAGAAAAATTATACTAATCACATCTTTGCTTTCTGTGGAAGGACAGAACCATTTGGAAACACCTGTTTTCCATCCAAAGCACCACTAATATCCGCTGAGATCCAGGGCTGATATCCACAGTCACACATTCAGCTGTGCCTGCAGGTTGATTTGAGACCCCATCACTCCCCTAAAAATCCTTCTTTGACCTGTTATTAACCCATAATTCAGCTTTTTTTACCCCAAAGTCCTGGAGAGGAGCCCAGATGGGGTGCAGGGTGTACTCACGGGGGTGCTGCTGTCGGAGAAGGTGTTCATGCTGATGGATCTGCTCATCCTGCCCGAGGACAGGGATGCTGGGGAGGGGCTGCGCTCCTGGGGCCGCTCCGGGGGCAGGTCCTGGCGCTGGAGGTGCTCCCGCCATGCCCGCTGGATGCTGGAATGACAACACACCCACGTGGATATTCCTGGCTCCACGGAGGGGTTTGGGGGTTTGTTTTCCCACCTGGATAAGCTCTGGGAGGTCTTATTGAAGTAGCTGCTGGTGGAACTTGTAAAGCAGGATCACGGAATCCCGGAGTGGTTTGGGTTGGGGGGACCTTAAAGCTCATCCAGTTCCATCCAGGGATCCTTCCACTGTCCCAGGTTGCTCCAACCTGGCCTTGGACATTCCCAGGGATGGGACAGCCACAGCTTCTCTGGGCAACCTGTGCCAGGGCCTCCCCACCCTCTCAGCCAAGAATTCCTTCCCAATATCCCATCTAAACCCAGACCATGTTATTCAGAGCCCCATCCAATCCCTAAACCCACAGAATTACTTCAATTTGAGGTTATACATAACTCAACAATTCCCTTACATCCTGCAAACCATATTATAGGGGGTTTGACTCCCCACATTAATCCAATCTCCAAGCTCCCCCCACAATTTGCCTCAACACCAAAGAGAAATTTTCAGACAGGCACACACAGTATGGGGGGAGGGGATATATACAGTTTATTACTACCCAATAAATACTATACGAACTAAAAAGCAAAATATGCATTTCTATACTTAAAAGAATGAATAACCTTCAACACCTCACACTGATATCAGCTTTCAGATTATAAAGCAGGTACAGTTGGAAGTTGAGAGCCAGACCAGTGGCATTGGATTACAGAATCCTGGAATGGTTTGGGTTGGAAGGGACCTTACAGCCCATCCAGTCCCCCATGGGCAGGGACACCTTCCACTAGCCCAGGTTGCTCCAACCTGGTCTTGGACACTTCCAGGGCTGGGGCAGCCACAGCTTCTCTGGGCACTCTGTAGAAACAGCTCCTTTTAGGATTTTGAGGCAATTGAGTGTTTATTCACTGGCACAAGCAGTATTTATATGTTTATATTTACATGTCCTTTCTATTTTCAGGCTGGAGAATATACTGAGGTTAAATCATAATCCCCCTGCTAGAAAGCTCTCTGAAATTCATTCTTTCATTTGGCTTATTTTGCGTGGCTAAAAGACACTGGCTGGATTTTAATTTGAAACTTCAGGGTCCTTTAATATTTTAATACAGCATTAATATTTTAATGTCCTAGCATATTATTGTCCTATATATCTCAATGTATAGTGAGTTAGTGGATGGAGCCAATGCCTGAACCAGGGAAGGAGGAACAACCTGGAAGAGCCACAGAGAGGATTCCTGTGCTCTGACAGACACGTGGGTGAGTTTGAAGTTTTATCCCCACGGACACAGCACGGTCAGGTCTTTTAGAACAACTGATCCCGTGGGTTTAGGTTGGATTTCAGGAAAAGGTTCTTCCCCCAGAGGCTGGTTGGGCACTGACCAGGCTCCCCAGGGCAGTGGACACAGCCCCAAGGCTGCCAGAGCTCCAGGAGGGTTTGGATGATCCTCTGGGGCACAGGGGGTGACTCTGGGGATTTTCCTGTGCAGGGCTGAGGGTTGGACTGGATGATCCTTGTGGGTCCCTCCCAGCTCAGCACATCCTGTGATCCCGGGATTCAGTGATCCTGTTGCATTGGAATTGGGGAGCTCATTCCCGGCTCCCAGGACTGTCTCCCTCCCTTCCCGGCAGCAGGTGTCGTGCGTGTGCCTTGGCTCAGGGCTGCCTCACTTCCCAAGGAAATCCAGCTTTTTCCTGTGCCAGGCAGCTGTGCTGCAGCCCCAGAGCAGGAACCCTGCTCCCCTCAGCCCCAAATCTCCATCCCCTGGGGAACTTCATGTTGGATGGGAAAACCAGCACTTAAAAGAATCTGCTTGGTCTGTGCTGCACTTCCCTCCTCTGGGATGTTCTCTGGATATATGGAAACTCCAGTAGATTTTCAAATATTCTTGAATTTCACAGGGGAAATGACAAAAAATTAGCACAACACTGACATTTAACATTTGAAACTCGGTTCAAAGAGAATGTGAATCATAGAATCCCAGAACAGTTTGGGTTGGAGGGACCTTAAAGCTCATCCATTCCACCTCTGCCATGGGCAGGGACTCCTTCCACTAGCCCAGGTTGCTCCAAGCCCCATCCAACCTGGCCTTGGACACTTCCAGGGATCCAGGGGCAGCCACAGCTTCTCTGGGCAACCTGTGCCAGGGCCTCCCCACCCTCACAGTCAGGAATTTCTTCCCAATATCCCATGTAACCCTGCCCTCTGGCAGTGGGAAGCCATTCCCTGTGTCCTGTCCCTCCCGTCCTGTGTAAATAGTCTCTCTCCATGTTTCTTGTCACCTCCCTTCAGGTCCTGCAAGGCCACCAATAATTCACCCCAAAGCTTCTCTTCTCCAGGCTGAACAATCCCAGTTCTCTCACCTTCATGTGCTTACAGATTGATAAGAACTTAATTAACTTGTTAACTTGAGGCTCTTTTCTAAAGTTACACAGAATTCCAGACAGAGACAGTCTGGATTCCTCAGGAATGGGACACATTTAGCTGCACTGAAGGGCAGAACCAACACCCTTCATTACTCACATTTTCACTTTGGACTCCAAGGGCTCTAAGTTGATGTGATATTTCTCAATGTTGTTTTCCTCATCCATGGCCAGCTGATGGCTGTGAGGAGAGAAAAAAAAATGGGTTTAACAAGTCCCAGCACAACATTCCTGCAATCACTGTGAATTAATTCCATAATTTTGACAAGAACATACAAGAGCTGCTCGTTATAAGGTGACACTGTCTTTGGAGAGAGGCATCTGGGTCTCTGTGTCCAGATTCTTTGGAGTGCCAACCAAAAAAGATGGATTTGGATCCAGTTTCCAGGTGGGAACCTGCCTGAGTGCTTGTGCTCAACACCTTCCAGATGCCACAGCTCCAGGGACAGGCCCCCCCAGCAAAGAAGCTGCTGCAAATCAAAAAAAAAAAACCTCCCCTGGCAAAGAGAAGAGAGATTGGTGCTAAATTAACTTCCATCCCTGCAGCTATGCCAGAAAAGAACAGAAAGGAACAATGGGAATACTGGGAGCAAAGGAATTACAGCAGCAAAAGCCATACAGGGGGGTGAAGGAAAATTCTTGGGAAGAAATGATGGTCAAGGAATGGGTGCTGCTGGGAAAAAGCAATTTTAAAAAGCTACAAGATGAAAAAAAAATCAAACATCTGGGGCCACTGCTGTGGATGCAGGAGCAGCATGAAGGGCAGGAAAGTTGGGAAGATTGGACCCCAACCTGTGGAGTTATTTTGAGACCTTACTGGACACTTAATTACATCACTCAATCAGCAGCAGTTTGCAGGAATTATCCTCCTGTAACTGAAAATAAGAATTTTTTGAGGGAGAGAGGCAAGATTTGGAATATTTAGTGTATTACCAAGAGAAAAACACGCTCTAGACCCCAGAGATGGTCCCTCAGCAAGGGACTGTGACCTCAGAAAAGCCATTTCACTTTATCATGGGTGGGAATCACACACTTACCTTTGAAGCAAGTCTTTGCCATCATTGACCTGTTCCAAGGTGTGCTGGAGCCTCCGGAGTTCCTCCTAAAAGGAGAGAAAAACCCATTTCAATGTGTTTATGGGAAGCCCTTGGCTGACACTGGAGATTCCTGCTCAGCCCCTGAATAAAATGGGCCATCAAGGGGCATTCATGAAATTGCTTTTAAATTCAAAAATCAAAAATAACTATAAATAAATCAATATATTTATCAGCATGTCCAGCACAAGTGTGAAAGGAGATATCAGGCCTACAATAATAACACTCAGAGCCAAAGGGGAAGGTGTTCTTTCACCTCTCAGGTGGGTGGATGCTTTGATTCTCATCATCTTGGTGAGAGCAGCAGCTCAAGCTTTCAGAATCTTCTCTTTGTTCTGCAATCAGACACCATTCAGGCTCAAAATTAAGAGCCACTGGCTGAGTTTCACAGCCTTTATTTGCATCAGCTGCTACTTCAGTAGCAGAGGAGTCACAAATTTAGGTGCAGATGCAGAGCTGGGAGTCTCCACATCCGTGTGAATGTCCTCGGAAAAATCCACCCCCGATGTTCAGCACAGAGATTGGGCTTTAAAAAAAATGAAATTGTGTCCCACTGGTGGGGTTTTATCATCCCAAAGGGGTGGAGGAGAACCAGGGCCAACACTGAACCCTCCAAAGCACAGCCCTGGGATGGGATGCAAGAGAGTCACCACCCCGAGGCTCAGGGATGTGCTCCAGGTTTGTGTTTATCCATCACATGTTGATAACTGAGCAACAGCAGAAGATGAGAAACTCTGAAAAACAAAAGCTGATACTTCATGACTTCTTTTAGCTTCTTAAGTTAGGGATCAGATGGAAAAGCACTTTCTCATTGAGAAGGAAGGAAGCAGGGTAATTTACTTCCCACTTCTCTAACAGGTACAGGATTCCCAGGAAGGTCAAAAACATTTAAAAGGCTAAAAAAGGATATTTCCCCCCATATATCTTATCTGACAGGGGGATGAATATAGATTTCTGTTGCCAATAAGAGCACTGCAGTGTCCAGGAGCACGGCCCATCAGCCAGCTCCACCTTCTGCTTTCCCAATCACAGCTGATTTTATGAAACAAAGAAATTTTAATCCTGTCTGAGATCCCACCCTGTTGGACACGAACAAGATCCCAGTTGGCAGCTGATGTACCCCTAACACAGCTTTATTTCCTTCCAGCCTCTAAACAACTATTACTGCAAAATAGATTTTAAGCATAAAATGGATTTGCCAAGATGACAATTGAGATGTTTCTCAGTCTCTGCCCCTCTGGGTCTCAAACTGCAGCCCCATTTTGGGGTCAAACCACAGCTGGGTGTGACTTTGGAGGCTCCTGCCACTCCTCAGCCATTGGAAATGATCCAGTCAGGAAAATTCTTTGTGGTTTTACCTTCCTCTTTTCATTGTCTGCTTTGAGGAACATCCTCCTCTGGCATATTAAAACCAAGCAACTTTCCAAATTGCTTTCTTTGAAGCCCAGCTCAGATCAGAAGATACCCCAGATAACCTTTCCCTCTTCCCCATTATTCCTCTGGTCATTTTTCCAGCCTGCTCCAGGGCTGTGTACAGTCATTTAGAACGTGCAAACAATTTGCAATTGGTTTTATACACAGCACTGGGTGACAAAACCTGCAGGGCTGACATAAATCATCCCTTGTGTCTGACATCATTTTCTATTAACCTCGGGGTGAAAACAGAACACACGCACAAAAAAGTCAAACCCCAAATTGGTTGTGACATTTTGGACTGTTCAGTCTTTCAATTAAACATCAGCAGCCAGGCTTTATAAAAGCTGGGATGAAAGGCAGCTCCGGAAGGGGCCCAGCAATGTTTGCATAATTGGGAAGAGGAGGAGACATAAAATCTATCCTAATTTCAGTTTTGCGTCATTAACCATGAAATATTGATCAGCTCTCCTTGCAACCAAATTTATGGAGCTGCTGTGTCCGGGGAAAAGGGTTGGGATGGTGCTCCCTCAGCCCCTGGCATGGTCACTGGGGGGTGACAGTGACACCAGGAGGCTGCTCTGCCAACCTTGGGGAGATGCAGCTCCACATCCCACCTGGAGCGACCCAGCTGCAAACTCCAACTGCAGGAAATTAAAGTGGAAGGGATCCAGCCTCCTGGTGGAATCCAGGATGAATTGTGGTGCCTCTGCAAACCCTGTAACACACACACATTTTCATATTCCCTGCACTTTTCCTTTTTCCTGCTGCAGCTCAACACAGACATCAGGAGGGACTGGGCAGCTCCAGACACGGAGGGACCGAGGGAGAGAAAGCCAGGAAAGCCTGAAGAGAACAAATCATGGTCAGAGAAAACTCAAGTGTCTTTTTCTAGTCCTTAACATACCTGTTCTGTTTATGCTTTAATTGTTTTTCAGCCTGAAGATGTGAATTTTTAGGGAAGTGGGATGTTGTGATGAAACCCTGGAGGAGCAGCTGAGGGAGCTGGGGGGGCTCAGCCTGGAGCAAAGGAGGCTCAGGGGGGACCTTCTGGCTCTGCAACCCCCTGACAGGAGGGGGGAGCCGGGGGGGGTTGGACTCTGCTCCCAGGGAACAAGGGACAGGAGGAGAGGGAACGGCCTCCAGCTGTGCCAGGGGAGGGTCAGGCTGGACATCAGGAGGAATTTCTCCCCGGAAAGGGTGATCAGGCACTGGAAGGTGGACAGAAGACAATGAAGTGCTCTCTGCTGCTGCTCACCTCTCCCAGCTAAACCACCCTCAGAGCAGCAGCTCAGATCCACGTGCCATTGATATTCCAGCACAGAAGGATCCTCAGCTGCTTTCCCAACCCCTCAGCTGCCCTGGGATACTGAGAACAGCCCAATGCCAATGCTGATCTGACCCCTGGTTTTAAGACTTTGTTTCCCCTTTCACAAATAATTCCACCCCTTCCTCCTATTTTTGCATCCTGGGGTTTATTAATTTTCCATTTTTCTCATTTTTCCTGTTACTCATTGATATCCTGCCCTGTTTTCCCAGGGAACACCGTGGCCCTTGGATGAAATGCTGTGGAGTCCTGTCTCAGCCTGACAAGACCTGTCAGGCAGCGCGTTAATTAAGCCTCTTAGCGGGATACAATGAGTGTAAAGAGGATCGAGAGATCGGGAGCCTTTGAAGGGGAGGTTTTTACACGCTGCTATTTCGGGCTCCCATTCGCGCCGGCCCGGAGGTGCCGCTCCCTGGGAAAGCCGCGGGATTGCTGAGCAGCTTGTCCTCAAACAGCACCTCTGGTGGCACCTGAGGGAGCAGTGGGGGGGCACCTGGAGGCACAGGGAGTCCCGGTCTGGGCAGACAGGAGATCACCTGCAGTAATTCCCATTTCAGGGATGTGCAGAGCGTTCTGCATCCCATTTTGGGCCATAAAATCTAATGCTACACCCCGAACACACTGAGCATTCCCTGAAGTCCATAGAATCACAGACTGCTTTGGGTTGGAAGGGACCTTAAAGCTCAGCTCATTCTGCCCCCTGCCATGGGCAGGGACACCCTCCACTGTTTTATATATATTATTATAATTAAAAAAAAAAAATACGGGGTGTTCCTTCCTCTGGCTGATTGCCTGGGATGGATTTGGGAAAATCAGAGAATGGTTTGGGGTGGGAGAAACCTTAAAGCTCATCCAGTTCCACCCCTGCCATGGGTAGGGACATCTTCCACTATCCCAGGTTGCTCCAACCTGGCCTTGGACACTTCCAGGGATGGGGCACCCACAGTTTCTCTGGGCAACCTGTGCCAGGGCCTCCCCACCCTCCCAGGGAAGAATTCCTTCCCCATATCCCACCTAAAGCTGCCTTCCATCAGCTAAAAGCCATTTCCCTTCATCCTATTGGCAATTAAATGCCTGATGGTGAGAAATGCTTCATATCTTAGAAAAGGCCACGTCAGACAAGAGTGGCTTTTGTACCTTGGGGGTGGGAGGGGGAAGGTCCTGCTTTATTTTCTCTGGCAACCCAACAGAGACCTCGAACACTCGAGCTTTGAGAGCTCCAGAAAAGCACATTAACACAGAAAAGCACAGATTAACAGAGCTCAGGGGCTCAGAGCCCACGGCTGTCAGAGCCATTTCCTGGATGGCTTTGGAAAAATTCTGCATCAACAGAGTCACCTAAACCTCCTTAAACAAATTCAACATTCAGATTTCAAAACAAAATTGGGAATTAGCCTCGCTGAACTGGGTCAGTCACTGCAGGGATACACAGCATGGACTGGCTGGGTTCTGTGTACCCAAACCTGCCCTCCCAGGGCACCTGAACTCCTTCCACCTTCTCTCCTGTGGGCATCCTGTCCTTTTGGGTTGGGATCTCTTCAAGGAAAAGAAAAGTTCTTGTTTTTTCTTCTGCACTGGGGCTCTGAGCTTAATTAGATAAAATAGAATGTGGTTATTAACAGCTAATTAACAGCAAACAACATGAGACTCTTCCATCAAATACATCCTGTACCTTCCCTTCCATGGCTCACCTTCACAAGGGCATGGAGTGACAGGACAAAGGAACAGCTTCAAACTGCCAGAGACTTGGTTTAGGTGGGGTACTGGGAAGAAATTTGATATTGGGAAGGTACTGAGGCTCTTGCACAGGTTGCCCAGAGAAGCTGTGGCTGCCCCTGGATCCCTGGAAGTGTCCAAGGCCAGGTTGGACAGGGCTTGGAGCAACCTGGGCTAGTGGAAGGTGTCCCTGCCCATGGCAAGGGTGGCACTGGATGGGCTTTGAGGTCCCTTCCAACCCTTGACTCACATCCCTCTGCTACAAACCCTCCTGGCCAG